GAAATAATTAGAAGTTATGAGATTTAAAAAATTTTGTTAGAAGTGGAATTTTAGAAACATAAAATATGTACAATATTATTATTTGAATTTAGGTACAGTTTATTACCATGAATGTATCATATTCTAATATTGTCTAGAGCTTATTACTGTTATTCAGACAGCGATTAAGATTATTGTGAGTTGTTGAAATTGTAAACACATAACCTAATTTTTCAAAAAACATGTTTCATTTGACAGTTGAATTTAAGTAACATTAGTTCAATGACTATCACTAATATATTAATATTTGAACTATTTTTTTTAATAACTAATTCGTCATATTTTTATGTAAATTTATATTTAAAATTTCTCAAATCTCAAATTTATAATTAAAATTTCTTAAATAACGAACAAAGTAATTCAGCTAGCAAATGTCATTTCGCCTTGTTTCAAACTTTAGCTTAAATGTCATCATCCTTCTCACTCTAACATCATATGTGTGAGCGAGAGCGCCATATATGTCATTTACATATGGCAACCCCAAATTTCGTAAACACACAACTGTCAAATTAATTATTCAACTGTAAAACTTATCTTTAGAAATTATTAATGTTAGTAAATGTATGTTCAAATTAAAACATTATCTGTGTTATAAAGTTTTAATTAGTGTTTTAAGTTTTGTGCTTTTATCCTGGCGGTATGTATAATTTTTCTCACTTAATACGTATATGTGTTCTTAATTCCTTATATTTTTTTAACACCTATCAATTTGATTAACTGTCCAAATAATAACAATTAGCTTAACAAATATTTGTGCGATTTATTACTTCTATTGATGTCTAAATGCATAATTAAATCACTAAAACCTCAAAATATATGTGGAAGTATTTATTTTTAATTAATTGCACAGGAAAGTTAAATAAATTAATCTTTGACAAATTTAACCTACATTTTGAGGTTATGTACACGTTATTTTAAAAATCTGTTTAAAAATACGTACAAACGATATTTTATAGTTTTTTATTACGATAATATAATAGTTTTAATAATAAAGGTATATTACATATTGATAAATTAAGCTTCTGGATTTCCATAGCTGTTCCAAAAATTAAAAAAATATATATACTATAAAAATTTATTAAAATTATTCTTATTGACTTACCCTATCAGCTTGTAGCTCATCATGTTTTCCACACAATTTATATTAACAAAAATGTTTAAATAACTTATTACAAAATTTAGAAAATTCAAAACCTGAAATACAACGATTTTTTTCTACAAAATAAAACTGCACAAGTTTTAAAGTTTCAATAAATCTTTTTTAATTTTTCTTTATTTTCTGACTAGAAGATCCTGTTCGTGTTTATTATTACAAAGGATATGCACATTAATTCAATGATAATATTATCGATAATTATTTAATTTAATATTAATTTATGTATAATTTTATATATATAATTTAACACTATTCATTTATTATTGTACAATTTTTTTTAATTACAATTAGAAAAACCTATTTTTTTAATAATTATTCACACGATCAGAATTCGTTCACAAAATACTGTTTGTAATATATATATATATATATATATATATATATATATATATATATTTGCTTATATATTGCTATAGTTATAGTTTTGGCAATTTTATTCTTTGGTTTTGATTTGGCACATTTTTTTTAAAACACAAACCACTTAGCATTGTAAATATATAAAGTTGGACGATAAATTAGAAAAATTCTTAGAAATATTTAAATTATTTGAATTATTATTTGACACTTCAACCTCCATTTTGAGGTTACCTGCACGTTACTGTACAAAATTGTTTAAAAACACAAACAAACCACATTTTATAATTTCTTATCACCACAAACTTGTTTAAAATCTAAATTTTGATTAATTTCTGATAAATTACAATGTCTAGTTTTGTAAAAATTTAAATTATCATAACTTTATTTATTTTATAATTTCTGTTACGTCAAATTTATTATTTGCAATGCTAATCGGTCAGTGTTACCAGATTGAAGAGATCAAAATTACGATATTGCACTTGGTTTGATATTGGCGCCAAATTTGAATTTCATAAAGGTCGACATGTATAAAAAATGAATAATTAAAAATAAAATAAATAATTGAAAATTTACATTATTAATATTAATTACTAAATTAACATTATTTTGAAATTGTTAAATAGAAACCTTGAAAAAATACTCATATAAATACTTTACAAGTATAAATATTAGTAACATTGCAACAATGTCAAAAAACTAATTTTAGAAAATTATTTAAGATTAATAGCAAAATTCAAAAATCTCACTCTATTTTTTATACATCCGTCCTTTACAACGGCTCCAATTCTTCCATTTCCATATAAATCTGTGAATTTCATAGTAACATTTCAACTATTAATTATTACTTAAACTATATTATTACTTTACTAGTTTTCATAATTTTTTTTACAGTCTGAAAAGTTATTGTTACAATTTCATCATAATAATTACACAATTTGAATAATTTAATATAAATCTTAAATTAAATGCCATTCTTAAGTATTATTAGAAGTAATTTACATGATTATTATTCTTTGGGGTCGTCGTTTTAGACCCAAAAATGGTCCTAACTAAAATGGATTTGGTAAAATAGACTATATGTACATGTTTTGGTTGTTGTTGGAAGAAAATTGTAAAAAATAGCATAGGAGTAAAAATAAAGGTATTAAATAAAATTATTTTACAAACGTTTCGAGACTGTGGTTCGTGCCATCATCGCCGACTCCTACGTGCATTTTATTGTTCTATGGCAACACTAGCTTGTTCTTTCATTTGTTAATTGTGATCTATGGCAACACTAGTTTGTTCTGCCATTGCGCAAATCAGAAGTGGGATGAATAATTATGATAAGACAAAACCAGATGTCACTAGTGATGGTGAACAAATATTAATTAGACACTAATTTTATTACAACAAAAATGTTTTTTACTCTTAATTATAAAATAACAATTAAAATCCAACTAATTTTTTCCCTTGTGCTATTTTTTACATTTCCCTTAATTTTTTTTGCGATTTATCACAACTCGTCTAAAGACTTAAATTAATTTTTACTATCTACTATACACCGATTTATAACTTCAAAACTAAAACAAAAATTTGTACCAATGCAAATAATTAAACTAAAATTGCACAAAAGTGTAGAAATTTATTATTTATAAGCCTCTTCTTTTACCTTAGCATAAATTGGAAAAAATAATTTAAATTATTTGTAAGATAAAAACCTAATTCCAAAATAGGCCTCTTAAATAAAAAATGCATGATATTAGCAGAAATTTGGCAACGCAGGAAATTTACGTGTGCGTTGTTGCCAGATTAGGGTGAAAAATGATTGATCGCAATATAAGAAATTTGAACACATTTTCGTTTTCAATTGAACTATACTGAATAAACCAAATGTGCTGCTACATAAAACAATAATTTAAGGCTTATAATTAAAAAAAGTAAAATGGTTTTATAATAAAAAGACCAGAAAGATTTTCAGAGCTGATGTTGGAAGTTATGTATATATTTGACTTTTATAATTTGCCTAAAATTATTATTTCATATAGCAAACTCACGCAGAAATTATTTTAATAAAGTCAACTTATAAATCAATTCTATCTCAATTCAATTATTGAGTTTGAATAAGAAAAATTTAACAAATTAATTTTCAATTGACAAAAATATTTTGTCTTAATTTTATGAAAAAACATAGGAAACATTTATTCAATTACATACTAAATATTATTTTTCTAAATATATATTTTACATACGTACTTTTATTTACAAACTTCGCGATCCGTCCAAAGTCGTGTACGCTTTTTTTCTTCATTGGAGGTCTCCAAAAAATTGTCCTCAAAGCACAAATGGTCATAGACCATCATAAACACATCACTTTTTGATGAAAATTTCAGAAATTATGATCCTCACGAGGTTGCCAAGCCAGATGAAATTTTTGTGTTTCCATGATAAGATTGTTAGAGAAAATTAGTTGACCAGTTCGAGGAATAAGATGGTAAATTGTTAGCAATGATTGTCATATGGACTTTTTGCAGTTCTAATCAAATCAGATGACAAGTTCCGTTAACAGTGAATCAATTTTTTAAAAATTATCCATCTTAGATATGGTCGTCCTATCAGTTTTTGAACAATCCAAATTGATCTCCTCATTTGTTATTCGAGAAAATTAGTTGACCAAATCGAAAAACCAGCATAAGTTCTATAACACAGAGACTCAAGATCATGAAAAATGCCCATCTTAGACATGGTCCAACTACCAGTTTTCTGATTTTCAAACTGATCTCTTCAATAGAAATTTTGATACCATGGAAACCTCTTAGATTTTTTGGTCCAACTGCTGAATTATTGGATTTCCCTGTTATGAATTTAGATTTTCTTGATCTAAAATTTTGACTGGCAAGAATTGCAGATATTGAATACAGTCATATCTTGATTTTGCAAAAATGGAATTTCCAGGATCTAATGATCTTATCCACTAATCGCCAAAATTTCTATTTTTACTACAATATTCTGTACGATATTGTCACAGATTTCTTTATATCATCATCAATTGTAGTTATTGGAAGCAAATTTAATAAACTTAGAACGTCGAACATCTTTCTGATGCATTGATCAATATAGAAATTACTCAAAGAAAGATTTCTGTTTTTGCCAGGATGTAAAATTCTTCAAGATCTTCTGCAAATTCAGACACAATTTAGTTCAGACACAGTCAGCTAAATTTTGCCAACATGGAATTACCAGTATCTAATGATCTTATCCATCAATCGCAAATATTTCTATTTTTACCACAATATTATGTACGATAATGCCACAGTTTTTTGCATCATTATTAATTGTAATCATTGGAAACAAATTTGATTAACTTAGAACTTCGAACATCCTTCTGATACATTGATCAATGTAGAAATTACTCAAAGAAAGATTTCTATTTATGCCAGGATCTAAAATTCCTCAAGATCTTCTGCAAATTCAGACACAATTTAGATTTTAATCTGATTACACAGCTCATCCATAAATAACCAACAATTTTTAAAACTTCACTACAATTTGAATCTCATCAATAAATTCATTGTGTGGATTATCTGGTCAAATTTGATATTTCTAGTCCAATATTGCCGAAATCTGAATTGGATTATCATGGAACATTCAATGATCTCATTAATTGGTCAACACATATAAAACCCTAGAAAAATTTCAAGTTTCCATCTGGATGAAATTAAAATGCCACACAATAATTCTGGATCAATTTAAATCTTGAATTATCCACCAAAAACAGAGTTTTTGAAACTTCACTATAATTTGGATCACTTTTGATTAAATTCACTGCCCATCTTGATCACTCAACAATTGTTCTTCTTCATAATCTCCCAAATCATCACTCGAATCATCCCTATCACTTTGAACAACCCTGGAATCACTTTCAGGAGGATTCGTTTGCATGGTAATTGCAGATAATCCCAATTCGTCTGCTAAAGTAAAACTTCCGACTTTTGTTGCATTCAAGTCTTGTCCAAGACTAGTAATTTCTGTATGGGGACTTTGCATCCCCAAATCACTGCGCAATCTAAGTCCTAAATTCATGTGCAGATCGTTGGATGGAATCCCAACACCAAAATTGGAAGACAATCTGATTTCCGATTCATCTGCTTGCATCCCAAATCCTTGTGTAGGGTAAAAAAAATCCAAGTTATTGGCGTGTCCTCAGACAACCCTATCAGCGTATTGACAAGCACTCAGACTGCTGCCTAATCCAGTGGTCCCTAAAGTGGAAGTGAGTGCAGATCCTAAAGTAGCCCCTAAAGCTGACCCCAAACTAGAGCTTCCAGGACTGGATCGTGATTGTATGGGGCTGGCAACAGGGCTGTATGATGAATTTCCTGTTGATGTTACAAATGATGAGCTGTGCTGTTTGGCTTTGAGGCGGAGACTTGCTATGCTGGAAGACATTGCTACGCACGAAGGCTCGGATCTTAAAAGAAAAAAAATTGTGGTTATTTTGGATAAAAGAAATGATAAAACAAATAATTACTCACCGATAGACAGTTCAGCTCAAAATGTTCTCATTCATTCAAATGCTTATTTCAACCGTCAGTTGAACTGCCTAGGGATGAGAAGAAAATAAAATTGTTACTTTATAGAAACTAAAATTGTTACTTAAAAAATTAAAAAATGAACAAAATAAATTTAAAAAATTACCTGTACACGTATGGGTTAGTAGGCGTCGTATAAGGACACGGTGCTGAATTACCAACACCACCAGTGACACCTCCAGTAACTCCCATAACACCACCAGCACCTGCTGGACTTATAGACGACGAGACAGGATTAAAACAATTCACCGCCGATTGGTGATGGTGATGGTGATTCGTAGGAACTACACTACCTGAAGACAAAAACATTGCATATTAAACAACAAATTCCAATTCTGGTCAGAAAAAAAAGAGTCTATTATCTACCTAAATGATGATTCCATGGAAAACTTTTCGCCCCCAAAGGACTCGGTGGGACTTTTGCTGCCCAATTGTTGACGCCAGCGTAGCTGGCATAAGGTGAATACAGTGCTTCAGTGTCTGCAAATTGAGCAGCTGTCATCAGACCGTTGAATTGTGCGTTGGCAACACCAAAACCTGATTTAAAGTCCGCGGCGGCGGCCGCTGCTGCGTTCATGGCGTTGCGTTCGCGCTTACGCCATTTCGCGCGACGGTTCTTGAACCACACCTGAAAGGGATAATGAATATAAAATTAAATTATGAGAAAAAAAGTCTAAAAAAAGATCACAAATAGTAATAAATATATTGATGTCATAAGATTAGTTTGAATGCTTGAAGTCTTTTACAAGAAGTTTTACGCCCAGCTACGACCCCGGCGTCGCGGTAAATTATTTACAAATATCCTTCTAGTGAACTATCTTTTTTATCTTTGGGTGTAAACTTATTATTGTTCCAAATTTCGTTTTTCACACCTACACCTGTGTGGGTATGTATATGGTGATGAAGATAGAACGAGTCCCCGGCCGCTAGGGGCGCTCGTTAATCTTCATTTCGCAATTAAACGCTACGCTGCACGCTTAACGGATCGTTAACCGACTGACTACGCGTAGACGAGTCGGTTCGTAGTCCCACATATTTCAGAAAAGTTAGAAGGTAATTTATACATCAACGTACAAGCACACTCACATTCTGAATTCAAATTTTTCTTTGATTTTATATTATATTAAACTAGCTACTATGCCTTAAGGCAAATTTCTGGAACTTCCCATACCGTAATTCAAAATTTTTAAATGCTTTAAAAAGTTTATGTTATAGTAATAGTCCAAAAATCGAAAAACAAATTTTGCATATTTTTACCAAAATATTCAGAGGTTTCTGAACATTTTGGCATAACTTAGAAAAAACGGATGTGTAAATGTGTGTGCGTGTATATGTATGCGCGTGTGGTATATATGTGTGGATACAATTTTTCGTCCACGTTTTTGGAAGCACGGATCAACCCATTGGAATAATTCAAAGAACATTCGATTCGTATCGATAGCTAGACATGCTGATTAGTTTTTGGCGAAGGCAGGTCCAGCCGTTTCGAAGATACGGAGCAAAAAGTCCAGACAATGGAAACTCAGTTTTTGCTAGAACCAGGAATCGGATAAGAATGATTAAAACAATATTCGATTCGTATTAACAGGAAGATGTGCTGATTAGCTTTTGTAAATGAAGTTTCAGCCGCTTCGGAGCAAAAAGTGCAAAACCGCCATATCGCATTTCTTTACTTTTTTTTATCGAATCTCCTAAGCCGCTGGATCTACCTAACTTAAAATGTGATTTATTCATTTTGCCTAATCATTCTAATCATTCTAATCGGATGATCCGTTCTCTAAAATACTGAATATACTTTTTTGCACTTTTTATTCCGTATCTCTGCAACGGCTGGACCTGCCTTTGCTAAAAACTAATCAGCAAGTCTGCCCATCAATACAAATCGAATGTTCAAAGCGGTTGATCCGCGTTCCCGAAATCGTCGACGAACATTTGTATCCGCACACACACACATTCATTTTATCTAAAGTTTGCGAAAATGTTCAGAAACTTCTGAAACGTAAATATATGCAAAAATTTTCATTTCCGATTTTTAGGCAATGACTATAAATTTCTATCCTAAGTTAATTATGTATTTCATCTTACGATAACCAAATAAGATAATTGTTTCGTTTTACAATTTGGCTTCCTTCCTAAAATTCACCCCCAATATTTTTACTTTCGATTTGTATTAACCGTGAAATGACTAAAGCAAACTTTGTGAATCTAGTAGGGGTAGTTTTATTCGTGTTAACTTGTATCCCTTCGACCCCCCTATAACGTGTCGAATCTCTCACCGAAATTTCCTCCCTCGGCGGTCATTTCGTTTTATTTGATTTCAATTTGCATTTGATACGATTTGATAGAGGACAATGTGGGAATTAAAAGAATAAATTTAAAACTAGGTGTAAGTGGCATTTTGGTCAAAGTCATATTTTATTTCGGTCAATTTTTACCAGTTTTTGTATCCCGTTTTGTGTATACCAATCTTTTATTATCATCTCTTACTTGCCGAGCAAATTTCTCATCAGGCAACATCGTCCCGTTGTAGTCCCGTTATCGTCCCGCGTAGAATGTACTACGTACTACGTAGTAAATGAAAACGTCACGTCGGACGTGTGCACGCGTACATCACGCCATTTCACGGATCGTTGGCTAAGTTACTAATAGACGGAGAGCTGGTGGAACAAAAACTTTTAACGAAATTTCTAGTATTTGAACAATAATTCATATAAACATTTGAAATTTCAGTGTGGTTTATTTGAGAAAGTAGAAACAAACAAATGTAACGATCTTTATGCGATAGAACGAACACAAACCCGCATGAAATGTAAAACGATATGATGGAAAATATAACCCCAGCTCTCTGCCTATTACCATTCTCTATACGCTCACTTCACTTCACTTTGCTCTACTACAGCTCACTTCACATCGTTTCGTTTCGCTTCGCTTTACTTCGTTCTATATCTATATTAGTTTGGTTTATTTAATCTCTTCTTTATTTTACGATAGAAATAAAAGGACTCGGGGCGCGGGATTAATCTTGAGATATTTAGTTCATTTGTGATTGTTTCTCTATTTTAGTTTAGTACAATGTATTTCTCTTAAAATAATTTTTAGACGATTTAGCACAAATCAAGCATGCTTGTGTTCTAACCAAAAGATTAAATATAAATACAAATGTGGTGTTTGAAATATGTATTAATTTTGGGCGTTTGAAATTGGGTATGTTCGATCTCTCTAAAACTAGTGATGCTTGGCCTTAAGGTAAATTGCTGGAACTTTCCGTACTGTGAAGAAATATTCGAAGAATATTAAATTTTTCCAAAAAGATCATTATAAATACTGTAACTTTTATTATTCGTGTTTATAGACAAAACATAAGATCTTATAAATCAGAGGATGACCTTTTTAAATGTTTACATGAAAAGTAAATAAACAAAGCGGAGGCAGAATGAAGGACTTTATCTCATATTTCTAAAAATTATATAAAAAAAATTGCAAGGTTTTTTTTCAATTTTTTTTTATTTTTTTTTTATTTTTATTTGGCCTCGCTTACTTTGAGCATTTAGCCACCTACAACATTTTTATTTATTTACATTCTAATTTTTATATCAATTTCAATCTATTTATGTATCCTATCCTATATTTTTCTTAATTTTTCTTCTTCTTATTTTCTTCAATTCTTGCTCTTTTCAAATTTCTAATTCTATTTAACTTTCAGCTTCATTCCATTTTTTTATTCTTCTTCCTAGTTCCAATATTTCTCTTCTTACTCCTATTTCAATTCAACTTTTCGAACTCTGTTATTCCTATTTTTCTTAATTTTTATTCAAATTATATTTAACAAATACAATTTTTATTTGATTTCAAATTAACTACACATATTTTTTCTCATAAATTCTAAGTCATTGACAGGATTTGATCCGAAGATCGCTGCTCGCCACAATTGCAAGGATAAAATTATTTATTTCAAGTATATAAGTGAGCTTTAGAATTTCAGCTAGACTTGAATTGTTTTTTTTTTTTGAAATTTTGAAATCAGTTCTTCCCAAACTAGATTCCGCACCCATGTGATGTATTTACAACTATATCAGTTTTGCAAATATAAGAAATAAATTAGATTACTTTGGGGGCGTGTTGAAATGCGTGTAATGTGCGTGTAATAAGATCGGTGACGAAACGGAAGTCACGTGTCGGACTTCCGTCACGCACGCGTCACGAAAATCATCGGAAACCATCGGAAACCGATTTCTGATGTAAACACATGGGTCTTCAAAAAGAAAATATAAGTCATGAAATTCAAACTAGTTTTGCATGTTTTTCCTCGTATATAAAATCTTTATGTTTTTTATTTCAGTCATATAATCACTTTGTTCCAAAAAAATTTAATTCCTCCTCAAACATCCAAATCGGCGAAATCCTTCGTCCTTTATCCTTTTTCATTCGAATCGAGTCAGTTTTTTTATCCAATTCAAACCATTCAAAATCCGTTGGCAATCGAATTCAATATCAATTATCGATTAATTGACAGCCCGTATAATTTCTGTTAATAAAAAAACGAGAAAACTGAACGACTGGGTTTTTTAAATGATATTTTTTCTGCTATTTTTTACAATGCGGAGGAATTGAATATGATATTAATTCGTTTTTCATTGTGGGAGATAAAAATTATTGGAAAAAATACGGACAAAAAAGATAACGTACGAAAGTTATGTGAATTGAAGAGCTTATTATTGCTATATATTAATATTCATAATTATCTAGTCACGTTTTTGATTTGTTATATAAAGTCTGTCTGAGATTTTGTTAAGTCGATTATTTCAACTTATGAAAAATACAGAATAGACTTATTTAACAAAACTATATATCTTCGTATTTTGAAGAAAAGTTAATCAAAAGACGTTTTGCTGAAGATTATACTTTATTTTAACTTTGAAATACAAATAGTTAGTTTTTGAATTATGTTTCGTCACATTACAAAATAATAAAAATTTGAAAAATTTCAGTGCTTGAAACTATATATGAATTTTTCATCATTATATCTTTAATTAGTCATATTTTTTATTTTTATCTCTAATACATTATTGTGACATAATTAAGTCCCCTAGTTAAAAGTACTTAAGGATAGGACGTAGATCTTAAATTCTTGTCTTGTATAGTCTTGTAATTTTTAAAATCATGTAAGAATATTGTTTAGAATTTGTCTAATATGTTAAATGACGACACAAATAATGAGTCAAAACATACATAGTAAAAAAAGTAAATATTTATTGTTTTTTTAATTGAACTATTTGGTTGCAAATGAACATTTAAAGAATATGTTGCAATGTCGAGCAAAAAATCTAAAGTTTATATACATATATATTAGGGTGGTCCTTAATATAGACATTTTCGAATTTCCTTGCTCCCAAGGGCTCAAATGGTTCCAAATTGATAAAAAACAATCCTCTCAAAGTATTAGCTTCTAATATTGTTTTTTAGATAGTGCGCAATTCAATAAAAGTTTGGTATGGAAATAGCACGAAAAAAATTTAAAAAAATTTAAAAATGTTTTTAGATATAATTTAGCGAACAAATGAATGAGTTTTATTCAAAATTTGTCGCTAAGTTATACCGAAGGTTTTTTTTTAATTTTCAAAAATTTTTCCATGCTATTTCCATACGAAGTTTGATTGAATTGCGCTCTATCTAAAAGACATTATTAAAAGCTAAAACTTTCAGAGAATTGTTTTTTATCAATTTGGAACCATTTGGGACCTTTGGGAACAAGGAAATTCAAAAATGTCCATATTAGGGACCACCCTAATATATATATATATATATATATATATATATATATATACATATGTGTGTATAGACCTTGGGTTCATGGGAAACCAATAAACGCTCCTGCTCCAATTACACGCACTTGCCTCCTAAATTGCTTCACAAATAATTCGTATGAAATCAATTACTGAACAAATCTAACAAGGGTAGCACCGGTAAAGATTTTAATCACACACTAGTCTTATGCTCCTTGGAAAAAGATTAATTTCAGAATAAAAATCTACAAATTGTACCTAATTAATAGAAGTCTTCCCGAAGTCAGGTCCATGTATGGTATAACTAGGTGTACAATTTTAAAACAAAATATTGTAGTCATTTCATCTGTCGAATACTATTTTTCATCTAGTAAAAATAAATTATCCTCTTATCATGCCACAAGTTTCAACAAAAAATCTTTTCCAATCACAATCCGTCATCATTTGGCACCTGATTCCATCGAATTAAGTCCCGTAAAGAAGAAACTAATGAAATTTTCATCGATGGTGTGATTTGATATGATTTGACGACCAACGAGCACGAGTCGAACTCATATTAGCTTAGATTTGATGGATTGCCTTAATTTATTTTGGATTTTAAAAACAGGGAATATCGTGACACACTTTTTTGTCACGGTGCTAATCGGGGGATATAGATTAGAGATAAAAAATATTGCGAAAATTAAAGTCACACATATACGTAGACACATACACATATACGTATTTACATGTATATATATTGCCAATATGTAAATTGGTACTCCCAATTAGCTTTTCATCTGGAAATAATTAATATTTAATGAACCACGATCACATATCATCAAAGCAAAATTCAAACGGCATAAAATATGATATTGGAATTTAATTTTCTCTTTAACCACTTGCAGCACTAATTAACTGATTAACTATAGAAATCGATCAATGGTAGAAAATATAATTTAAAATTACACTACACCGGCCTATATGTTTTTTCTCTACTAAACTAATAAAGTTTCTAGTTTAATTTAAATAGTTATTATTTAATCTTGTAGGAGAGATTTAATAACGTTTTCACAAACCTCAAAGTTAATATGAATACAATGGCTAAGTGTAATTTTATTCATGGGCCGTTTTGCACAACCCCAACATATGCGTCGTTACATTGTTACACCACGTCATTGAGAGACACCATGTCACCATTATTTGATGATATTAAAATTCTCCCTTGGATAAATCTTATATATATATATATATATATATATATATAAATGGAATAATAAAGTCTAAACAGACAGACGTACGGACCGCCCGCCGTCAAAGATATTGCAATTTCGGTTTGATGAATCTAAAACCATCAATTATTTTCTTATTGAGTAAAGAACAAGAGGGGTAAACAAAATTTGATGCTCTCATACCAAGGACCTGCCTTTGGGCAAAATATCAGTTAAACATAAACTTCTCCTTCGGGAAGTTAATTAGGTGTAAATGGTATTTTGCCTTAAGAACGTACAAATCAACGCGAGTCCTTATCAGCCGTTAATGGAAAAACAAAAATTTTTAAGGAAATAATGATAAATAAAAAAGTTTTTTGCCATTTTTTTAATAATAAGATTCATGTCTAAAAAAACAATTGTTACATTATATACTATAATAGCAAAAACCAAAAATGAACAAAATCTTAACTGAAATAACATCAAATGAAATAAGGTGCTAAAAATTTGTATCTTTCTAAACGTTTCAAATATGTGTTAATGC